CCGCACTATCCGTGTAGTGATTTATTTTCCTGAATTAGAAATTAATTTTCATGCATGTTTTCAAGCATTAAACATTGTTTTGGAGTCTTTTCAATCAAATTTCAACGAAAATTTTTCTGGAAGTTATTGCGAAACCCAGTTAATGTAAAATCTAACTCTGAATGCTGCTTATCAAAAACTTTTCAAAGGTAAGCCAGTTCGCAAAAAAGCTGTGTTCTCTAAGTCCAACTTTTATGATTAAATCTGTTTTAATAAGAACAAATTGATATGCATATGTTTATATTACCATACACAAATCTATTAACATAATTATAAATCAGGATTATTTTAATTATCTGTATTGTCATTTAACAGAAAACCTTCCTGAGAAGTTTATTATTCTATTCAGCGTTTTCTTTAAACACAAAATCTGTTTCGAGTCGAAATTTCCTTATCATGTAGCAATTTCTGTAATTGCATAAATGTACAGTATGCATCAGTAAAAACGTCTGATTCGCAAGTCACGTCAAAGAGAGTATGTCATTAAAAAAGCTGAGTAGGTGGTGACACTAAACTTCACTAGGAAGTTCCATCGTGAACGTAGGATGACATCGCAATGTTTACCTACCTACGATCGAAAATTGAAGGTTGAAGACCTGTTGTCAAAAGGTTCTTCTATTTGACCCGGAAATCGGGTTTCGGATCCTATTAGGTCATCCGAGCAAACTGGGTTTATTGGCGGAATTCTTAAATTTAGAATGTTTCTCTCTTAACACACTCACTAGTCTGCTTGTTTATTAAATCGAATTTTTTTCCGGTTTCTCCTCAAATATTTTGTGCTAGTTGCGCTAAAATAGTAAAGTAACTAAATATTGTTTCAAAAATATGTAGCATTTTAATTGCGTAGGAGGAATCCGGTACTTTTAATTTATGGTTGTAGACATGGTTGAATGGAAAGGTATACAGACGAGAATTACATAACTGGATTTTGATGACTTACCAATCGTTATTTTCACAAATATCAAATCATATTGGTAGACATTTATCCAATCATTGTTAAATACGATAAATTTTATGTACACGAATTTTAAAAGTACGACGTAAGCATTTTAGATAGGCCAGCATAAGCGACGCAGAGTTGTTTGCATGGCGAATCCTGAACTTTTCCTTTAAAATGCATAAAGCCTTTCCTAACATTTTCATTGAAATTAGTAATTTTGATTTTCATATAAAATAATACGTAGGTTATAGTTGAATAATAAAATAGGAGAAGCATCAGATTTAATTAAATAAAACATTTTAAGTTTTTAAGTTATATAGTTTTTAAGGCTGTTATACGATTTCTTTCATTTTAGTGATTTCTTGAAGAAAGCGTTCATTCATTCAGTTCAAAAGTTTTGTTTTCTAATCCAAATATTTCTTACATGAACTATGTCTAGCACGTCTGATTCAATTAAACTCCTTGACCAATGCTTATGAAGTAAAATATGGTATACATCAAATATCATAAATTGCTTTTCTCCTTTAATTGCGAACTTTATATGGAACGATGAATGATTTACATAGTCTTAGTTTAATTTATATGAGAATGTAAGTTTCTTTATTTCCAATTACAGTTTCGTTATGATATTAATTTTAAAGTTATACTTACGCGTTTTATGAAAATTGAAATAACATGAAGGACTATCATGCTGGAAATGCAGCTCGAAAAGCTTTTAAGAATTAAAGAATCTATTTTTCCTCTTCTAAGAATAGTGTGCTAGAATGAATGACATGGGAGATCCTGAACAATACAATTACATTCTAATAGCTAATATTCTAAGAGCTAAAGATAGTAATAACTGCTTCAGTGTGGGATATTATAAATATCGCATAAATTACTCTGAATTAAAGTATTTAGTCGTTTTCTCCTGAGAAAGCAGAAATCAGTTACGAAATATTTATAATCGCTCCAGTGCTATTTTCAGCTAATTTTTCATTTAAAGCTGCCTTTCAGAATTAATTTTTCATAAAACTTCATTATATTTACTTAAAAGTAAGTTAAAGCTTTAAATGAAAGAGTTCTTACCTGACTAATCTGCCTGATAAGGAATAAGTGCATATATCTGCTGACACAGTGCAAACATAGCCTTCGAGTGTTTTGTCATATTCGATTAGACAAAAAAAAAAGAACATACTGGAGAATTGCAGATAATAGGATAAAAAATCCTAATTAAAGCATGTTTATTAGCGTAAAGAAGCAGCAAGTACAGAAATTATCATCTACGTTAACACTCTTCATATTAAATTGCGGTCGGCATTTTCATCTGCTCATTCCGCTTCAAAGCATAAGTAAAGCGAGCTCTAAAATAGATCAGTATTACTAAAAGTGCTTAAATTCTTTTCCTTGTTTTTCGTTTGGTGCCCGCTTTATTTGCTCTAAGAACAGCTATGGGAAATCTTTCCTGAACCTACCTACTGTAGTGCAAAACTTCAGCAATAAATTTTAAAAAGACAAATACCCTCTCAGATGTTAGTGTAAGTGCGATATAAGTGTGATCTGGAGAATGCTGATATATTTCTAGCTTTTCCTTTTATGAAGATTTATCTGTCAAAGGTTTCTAAATAAAGATTACATCAGTATTCTATGTTTCAAAAATTATGCAATGACTCTTTTGGTGAATATTTGTGAAGTATAAGTTCCTCATGCTTCATAACCGTAATAAACTTTTATATCCTGTGAATATGTTCAAAAGAATTTTACTTGTGAATTTTATAAACTATGATAACCTGTTGCAGCATACCATTTTAAGTATTTTTTTAAATTGTGCTGGTTTCTTAACAAAATTATCTTCTGTACTATTAATTTTTGTATTATGAAATCTCCGAGCTTTAACAGATTCTTACTCACAGTGTGTTTTGAAGTTATTCTCAAAAATTTTGACGCCATAGGCACCTCTTCAGTATTATTATTTCAGTTCAATATAACATTGTGCTCCCAGTACTCATTATATTTGTCTCATTATGTTTATCAGTTTATCAGCTATTTTCGTTACATCAAAATAGATGTTCTCAATTTAATTTGTGACTTTCAGATCGTTATGAAATTATATTTTAATCTCTTTAGGTCCTAAATAATTATTTTTAATAAATACTGGATGCGGGGTGTATGGTGGGATTGTATGATGTAACACAATAGGTAACCCTCTAGATCTTTTAGAAAGCTACACTTGCTCATCCTCTTAACCTTTCTTTGTAAACCTTTTACAAAGCATGCAGTTCTTTAAAGTCAGTTAGTATAGGACAGCACTACTAGTTGACCAATGGTACATCGCTGGTGTCCCCCATACATTTACCTGTGCCTGTACCTATGAAGATTTGCATAATTACTGATCAAATATGCTGTTTGCTTCAAATGCTATATATATATTTGAGACTCTGAACGAAATGTTGTCTTCGGTTTATTTATTCTTGTACTTTTCTCCTTTTTGTATGCAATTTAATTCTAAAAAAAACATTAATTGCAATCACACTGTATATAAACAAATTCTCCTTCTTCACATCAATACATTCAACTTTTGCTACACAGAAGAAAATATCAGTTATTATTTTCCCTAAATATTTGAGCAATAATGAATAGAAACCAATTAAACTGCCTGCCAATTTTTGAAAAATAAATTGCAGATATTTTTTTTCTTTTTTTCCAGTTCCTCCAACTTTTTAAATATGATCCTAAACGAATAAAATAAATTTATATTCTGACAAGAATATAGAAATATTAATAAATTCGTTTTAAAACAAAAACTAAAAAACCTCCCCATTTTTGGAATGGTTCAAAACACCGATATACCTCATTTTGCCTTTCCTACGTCTTTACATCAAAAATATTTCAGTGCTAAGGACTCAAAGTGACTTGCACTGTCATCAAGTAAATGACAAGTATGGTCCAGCTAATGAAACACATTTTAAAATAGTTTATATAGGAAATGAAACAACTTTTTCTTTTTCCGTAAACTTAGCATCCAAAATAAATAACTCATTTTTATCACTGGCTATTTTATTATGACAATTATCACACGTTGAAAAACGTAATTGTTCACTAGAAGTCGAGTCAACAAAGCCATTGAACACTGAGGTTCCCGGTGACTGAATGGCGTTGTTATACCGGTTTTTCCACGTATGATATAATTAAGAGAAGCTTCTTTTAGGAAGATCTCCACGAAGGCCTCTTTGTTAAGACCTCTTGAATGCTTAAGCGGAAAAAATACTCAGCTTATTTATTCAATTAAGATTTTTACTGCACGAATCATTTACGCACTTTTACAATTTAAGCACTCAGATTTTGTGAAATATCCATTGAATGATTAAAAGAGCTATTGATAATTATTTGTTAACAATTACATTAGCCTAGAGATTGCTTGAAGATGATTATGTTAATCTATGGACTACCAGTGGATATATTAATTACGTACCAGTGGAAAACTAAAATTGATTGTTAAATACCCCGGATTTAAAATGATTTTCGGCATTACGCTTTCTGCTCCATTCGTTGCAACAAATCTTCATAGTAATGTAAAACTTTACTTTTTAGTGTTTTATTAGGAAGTCATAACATGTAGTATGTATAGAGAGAGAGAGCAAAAGAAAGATTTCAGTGTTGAGGTTTATTTTAATTACATTAAATTAAAATGTGTTAATTTCCGTAAGAAACGTGTTTTTCTTTCCTTTTCACATATGAACTTAATTTCATATTCAGAAATATTAGTATGCTAAATAGGTCTATAATTAAAAACGTAATAAGGAACGCTTTGTAAAATGTAGGGTTTCACCGTTTTATAGTAAAACAGAAATTTTTAATTATAATTTACCTGACCTAAATAAAATGTTATAATAATTTTTTAAATTGTAAATTTTCATAATTTCAATAAAACAAACGATGAAGCATTCACTCGTTTACATTAATATTATATATTTATGAGCATAAATAAATCTGAATATTTTCGGAATATGATACAAGAGATTACTTGAAATAACAAACTTACTTGTTGCCATGGTTCCATTTTGCTGTTCATCACTTTCTTCTTCAGTCACAGATTCTTTTATCTCCTCTTCATCATTTTTCCTGTTTGTACTGGATGTCATACTCATAAAATTGGATCCCGCATGATTGCTGATATTCCTTGGTTCGAAAATGCTGTACCATTTTAGAGCCGGTGAGTTGGTTGTAGATAAATTGCTATTTCGGATTTTGTCGCCTAATATCTCGGTACCGTTCAGATAAACTATTTTTGCTTGGATCACATATACTCCACACATAAGTAATATACAAGATATTATTTGAAATTTGAGCTCCATTCCTTCGTATGTTTTTAAATGCTTCTTAGATAATATCGTCCTTAATCTTTGTTTTGCATGTTCCGGTGAGCTGCAGCTGGAAGGTATGAACTGAAAACCGAATTCCGGTTAGTTTAGAAGAGACAAGGATGGAAAGGCCATGGGTGGTGTTTTGAATGTGACGTAACACGACGTCACGTGCCCACTCTCGCCGCGGAAATGATTGTAATATTGTAGGTTGCTATACTTGCAGTAACCGGAGGTAACATCTTGGTAAGAAGTTTTATTTACCTGGGATAGAAATTTCTTTCATACGCATTTTCAGCACTGTTTCGCATTCGTATGTTTGCAAAACAAATTATATTTCAACAAAAAGAAAAATTCCTCCAGTTTTTAATTATAGCATTTGAAATTATGCCAATAAGTTATGTAATGTAGAGTTCGTTACTTCTATTAACTTACTGTTTCAAATATTTCATTTTGTTGATTTTCATGGAAGGGTGTATTCGATAACTTTAGTGCGAGGTCACATTGAAAGCTTTTTATGTTGTTTGCTTATAATGTAGGTGACATTTAAAATAAATTACCTTAGTTGTACCTAATTTTTTACATATTTAGTTTCTTTATATTTAGTTATTAGTCTCCTTCTCAATATAGAGGATACAAAGGTGGTTTATGATCGAATAAATATTTATTTCTTAGCGAAAATATATAGGCCTTACTTTATAAGAATCTTTATAAAAGCTATGGATTATCTGCTACCTTGTTAAAGTTAATTAATGTGCTACAAATATTAATGAGAGAGGTAAATGAGCTTGCGTATAGTAACAAAAGTTTATCAAAACAAAAGAGCACATGAATTAATCATTTAGCAATAAAATTTTCCTGACACTTAACACATATGTGTCGCATAGTCGTAGTGTTCATTATATATTAACAATTCTTTGCAAATTCTTTACCTTGAAGCATGTGTCATATAAATATTCTATTTGAGTTGTATTAGTTATGCAAATTTTTGGACTAGTTTCTTTTCCTTATACTGAGTTGTCGCAAACACTTGCAATGATTACACGAGATGCGCATATTTAAATAAATGCAGAGCATCGCCCTATTATTCTTAGTATTGCAGTTCTTTACGAGGGAATGGTCTGTACACGGAGTCCGACAAGTTGTATGATATATATGCATGAATCTTGGAGATATTCATCAGTTATGCGTATATAGATTAACAATGTTAAATAACTAAAAATACTTTTTTTTCCTGCACAAATACAGAAAAATTGCATCTGTTCTCCTGTCAACCTACCTTTTTTGATAAATCGACACTTTTTAAAGAAATAGAAAGTTCAAATCTTTACTTCTTTCGAACTTCATGGCGATAGTTCTATAAGTCTACCGGAAAGTTCTGTCCGGTAATTGTTATGTCAAGTTACAACACGCATGCAGGTGTTCATTTCAGACATGTATGGCTGTCTCTTTCTATCACTGCACTTATAAACATCTGCTCTTCTAAATTAACTAAAACAAATGTGTCTCGCATCATTATTAAGTGAGATGTGATCGTGTAAATATGGCTATGCATAAATTTCATTAACGACACTATTTTGTACAAATTCCAACATGGAAGAAATGCTACAGAAACGTGTCGAAGCTTAGTGGCAGTAGTGGAGATGTTGTTTCGGAGAGAATGTGTAGGAGATATTTCGAAAAATTTGAAGCAGGTGATTCGAACTTAGTGATAAGACACGCTCCTGGCGGCCATCTTTGATCGATGATGATAATATAAAGACGGTGTCACAAAATATCTTTTTTTTTTTTTTTTTTTTTTTTTTTTGACAATATCGGACATTGGCAGAAACCTTAGCTCAGCTCAACACACCCAGGGATAAATAGAAAGGGCTAGCTCATTCCTTTGTTCGACTCCTCGCCGACGCGAGCCTAATGGGGAAAATTAACAGGCAGTAATCTGACGTCACTGTGATGCCACCAGTTCTGATTTCCCGCGTTTAAAACTGTAGTTTCATTCAGCTGCGAGACGATTTTCTAGAGGTTACATATCCCAAATTGATTTTAATCATATATATATCTGTTTTCTAATAATGTATATTTAAAATAATTTATATATGTAATTTTAGTCAGTTTTTTTTAAATTCTATTATGTAAACTACCTTTTACGTAATATGGCTTTTTGCGCTGTAGTAACTTATTGTAGCACTTACAGAAGTAAGAAAGGATGAGATATTTTATTTCATGGGACCAAAGGATCCAAATGAGGTTTTGCTTTTGACGAAAGAATGGATACACAAATGTCAAAGGCAAGATTCTATTAATGCGCAGAGCGGAAAAATCTGCAGCGAACATTTTCTATGCAGTGTTTATGAAGATGATATGAAAAATCTCTTGTTTGGATAGCCACAAAAAGAAACTGTTGAAATGGAATGCTGTGCCGAAAGTAAATTATGATGACAATAATAGATCGAAATTGATGATGACAATAGTAAATCAAATTTTAATGATTTTGAAATAAAACTCACAAATGAAAATATAGATAATCCTGAATGCCCTAAGTTTAAGGATAAACAAGAATGCATTGATAATTTGAAGAACAAAATAATATCCTTAGAAAATTGTATTAAAGTATTGAAAAATAGAGAAAAGAAAAATTTTAGAATGTTTGTTCAGCGGCAAAGAAGGTGGACGACATCTAGACAGAAATTGGTATCAGAAATTAAAATCTCAAATAACGAAATTTGGGGGGGGGGAGGAAGCTCAAATCGGAGAATTTGAAAAAATGTCTAAAGCCTATTTTTATAAAGACGCAGATTAATGTATTACTGAAAAAGAAGGAAAAAAATCAGGTGGACTAGTGAAGATATTTCACGTTGCATTGTCATAAGAGCTCTGTCATCTTAAAGCTATGATTTTTGGAAAGAAAAAAAATTAAGAAAAAAACTGGAATATGTTTACCTAGTATTAGCAAATTAAAGAAATGGTGCGCTAAATTTTAGTGTAGTCCAAGAATTCAAAGTGATGTTCTTACTCTAAAGAAGGAAAGAGGCGAATATTTGTATTCTGTAGAAAAAATATGCGTTCTCAGTTTCGACGAAATGCATATAGATTGAAAACTCTGCTATGACTCTAAACTGGACCAAGTTCTCGATTCTTTTCAAAAAATGTGCAGTTTGTTTTAATCAGAGTTCTCATTTCGCGCTCTGCCTCAAATTACTGAGAAACCACGCTTTACATAAAGGATTTGTTTTAGAAGATGGAACTGTTTTAAATTTTGTTATTATTAAAGAGGTTTTAAATAGAGATTGAGAAGAAATCAAATTATGTCACAAACTAAAACCGAATTATTTAATGGTCAAGGGAAACGAGAGACAAAAAGTCGCTCCAGAGAAAACATTATTTTCAAAAAGTACCGCAAAAGGTATACTCCACCCCACAGGAAATCAAAAAGCATCTGACTTCTATGAGTTAATCGATAATATCTTCGGTATTATGAATAGTACCAACAAGAATAACAAGTATTTAACAAACTAATTTTGTTAAGTACTTGTTAAAGTTATTTTTATTGTATCCTTTGTAACTAATTATTGATTAGATTTTGTGCTAAATTAGCATTCTAGATAAAATATAATAGTATAAAACATTAAAGTAATTGGCATAAAAAGACTTTCTTCCTTTACTCACACTTTTGAAAAATTAAATAACTGTATTAGGTACTCTGAGTAAAGCTATTTTGTCAAAATTAAGGTAAACAATCTTACATACATTTATTTAATTGTAATATAGATATAAGTATAAATTACAAAATTATTTAAAAAAAATATTATATTGAATCGGAAGAGAATTATAACAATGTAAAATTTACAATTAGGCAAAAAATGAAACGTAGGTTAGCAGAAATGTTGCCATATATGTCATATATGTTTAAAACTATGTCAGTGTAAAATTGTTTTATGAGTAAATTTAAATAGCTTCTATTATAGTTATCTTAGAAGCAGTATAAAAATTCTCTCAGTTCACATGCAGATAAAGAAATGATTAGAAATAAACGTTCATTAAATAAAAAACCTGCAAATAAAAATTGAAAAAAAAAAAAAAAAAAAAACCACGGAACGTTATGTTAAAAGAGTAGCACATTTTATCTATTATTTTAAAATTGAGTAAGCATTATTAAATTTTTTAATGGTTCAGTCTAAAATGCATAAAGCAGTAACATTGTCTCTTCCAAATTATAGCTATCTTTCACACACAGCTCATTTCAAATGCTGGTTCAAAATCGCTAATTTTCAAGCTGTGAATTGCATCTGCGCGCTCAGTGTCATCATGACTACGTCATCACTTCTCACTTTCTGCTTCACGGGGAAAAGCTCTTCTAAGTTCTCTTCTAAGTCCTGCAACACACCATTTCGGACCATATTCGAAAACTAGGATTGGTCTATAAATATTCCAGATGGGTGCCTTATGAGTTAAGTGAAAAAGGTTTACATGATCGAGTTGTCACATGCACATCTGCGCTTGCTCGGAACTAAAACGAACCCTTTTTTGCACTGGATGATAATTGGTGATAAAAAATGGATTACCTACGAAAACATCGTTAGGAAAAGAGCATACTGCTCATCGCGATCAACCTACCCCCCCTCCAGCTCTAAACCGAGATTGAGCTTGAATAAGAGAATGCTATGTATATGGTGGTACGTCCAAGGATCAATATATTACGAGTTTTTAAAACCTAAACAAAAGCTCAATTCGGAGAGATATTGTCAGCAAATGGACGATTTAAACAAAGACGTCAAAGAGAAGAGGCCGACAATGTTCAATAAGAAGTACATCATACCGCACCATGATAGTGCCAAACCAGATGCTGTTTTAGTGACTCGTCAGAAAACAGCAGTACTGGGCTGGGAAATTCTCTCCCATTCACCATACTGCCTAGATCTAGAACACTTCGATTATCAATTGCTTCTCTCCTCGCAAAAGTTTTTGAAGGGGAAAAAATTCAAAACTGAAGCATATGTCAGATGCGCACTTCTTGAGTTCTTCACATCTGAATACAAAGAATTTTTCAAATATGGTATCTACAATTTAGCATAACGGTGGCAAGAGTTCATAAGTAACCACAGAAATTATATTGCACAATAAATATCATTAAAGGTATGAAAAATATATT